ATGTTTGGTTTGTGTATTTTCGGTCTGCCGTAGAATCGAGGGAGTACTGGTCCATTGGATTTCATTCTCCATTGATCTTGTTTTGTTATTTCTCCTGCTTTGACTAGCTTGTTTAATGTCTTTGAGATTCTGTTGTCCAATTTCTTGACAGGATTTATATCTATCAGTTTGTATGTGTTCTTATCTTCAAGTAGTTGTTCGGCTTTTTTGAAGTATTCCTCCTTGTCCATAATTACTGTTGTGCGTCCTTTGTCCGCTGGAACTATGACAATATCTTTTCTAGTTCTAAGTTCCTTCAAGGCTTTTTGTTCTTGTGGGGTCAGTTGGTTGTTTTCCTTCACCTGTTGAGTTAGCGGTACTATAGTTTGCCTTATTTTTTGTTGTGTCTCCTCACTGAATCCAGAAGTTTTGAGTGATGACTCTAGTGCTGCGAAGAATTCTAGTTTTGAGGCGTCGCTTGTGTTGTAGTTTAATCCTTTTTGGAGTAAGTGTTCTTCCGTGTTTGTTAGTGGTTGTTTTGATAGATTGATCACGCAGTTGTTTGTGTTTTCTTCCTTGGGTGCTTTTGAGATCTTGGTTAGTTTTTTCTTTAGTGTGTTCCTTCTTTGTTCTCTGTGTCGTTTGCATGATATCTCGATGGCTGTTGTCAAGATTTCTAAATGTTCTGACGTGAGAGTCCTTTGTAGCTTCACCTTTTGTTCCTCTATGACGTGTTGGTATTTGTGGATTCTGTAGTGTGCATCTGTTATCATTAGGTGTACCATTTTTCTTCCACTTTGCTCAGCTATTTTCCATCCTAATGGGCAGTTGATTGGAGGTCTATATCTTACACTTGTTGGTAGAACGTGCTGGCGAAGACACTCATGGAGAAAGTATAGTTGTTCTCGAGTGGAAGCTTGCCTTTTGGCGAAATTCTCCCATTTTCGAACAACGAGAAGCGTATCACGCTCATATGATTTTGAGATGGTGGAGAAGATTTGTAGCTCAGGTGGATGATTTTGATGGAGTTTTGTTCTCTGAGCTGGATGGTTTGGTCGTGGAGCTTTCATCGTTCTTCTGAACGACATCATCAGCACAAACTTCAGATAGAAGTGAAGTGTTCGAATTTCTCCATATGTGTTTCACAGCTTGTTCTGTGCACCTCGATGTTGATTGGTTCTTATTGACCTTAAATTTGTCATTGTTTACTTTTTTGTTTTTATTTTGTCCCCTATTGGTTTGATTCTTGTTCCTATATTCGTGCATAAGTTTCCTGATTGGTTGATAAATCGGATCAATTTCAATATGTTTGTTGATTGCTGATTGACCTGAGTGCCAAGCTTCTAAGAATTCTCTTGTGTTTTTAGAGTTTCCTCTGTCCAAGATTTCCACATTTTTCCAATCGAATGTGTGTCCACAGTTGTCCACGTGTATTGATATAAGTGAGGAGATATCATGCCGTTTGACTGCTAATTGATGTTCATGTTTGTGCTGATGATGTCGTTCAGAAGAACGATGAAAGCTCCACGACCAAACCATCCAGCTCAGAGAACAAAACTCCATCAAAATCATCCACCTGAGCTACAAATCTTCTCCACCATCTCAAAATCATATGAGCGTGATACGCTTCTCGTTGTTCGAAAATGGGAGAATTTCGCCAAAAGGCAAGCTTCCACTCGAGAACAACTATACTTTCTCCATGAGTGTCTTCGCCAGCACGTTCTACCAACAAGTGTAAGATATAGACCTCCAATCAACTGCCCATTAGGATGGAAAATAGCTGAGCAAAGTGGAAGAAAAATGGTACACCTAATGATAACAGATGCACACTACAGAATCCACAAATACCAACACGTCATAGAGGAACAAAAGGTGAAGCTACAAAGGACTCTCACGTCAGAACATTTAGAAATCTTGACAACAGCCATCGAGATATCATGCAAACGACACAGAGAACAAAGAAGGAACACACTAAAGAAAAAACTAACCAAGATCTCAAAAGCACCCAAGGAAGAAAACACAAACAACTGCGTGATCAATCTATCAAAACAACCACTAACAAACACGGAAGAACACTTACTCCAAAAAGGATTAAACTACAACACAAGCGACGCCTCAAAACTAGAATTCTTCGCAGCACTAGAGTCATCACTCAAAACTTCTGGATTCAGTGAGGAGACACAACAAAAAATAAGGCAAACTATAGTACCGCTAACTCAACAGGTGAAGGAAAACAACCAACTGACCCCACAAGAACAAAAAGCCTTGAAGGAACTTAGAACTAGAAAAGATATTGTCATAGTTCCAGCGGACAAAGGACGCACAACAGTAATTATGGACAAGGAGGAATACTTCAAAAAAGCCGAACAACTACTTGAAGATAAGAACACATACAAACTGATAGATATAAATCCTGTCAAGAAATTGGACAACAGAATCTCAAAGACATTAAACAAGCTAGTCAAAGCAGGAGAAATAACAAAACAAGATCAATGGAGAATGAAATCCAATGGACCAGTACTCCCTCGATTCTACGGCAGACCGAAAATACACAAACCAAACATTCCACTACGTCCAATTGTAGCACTGCCCGGAACGCCAACATACAATTTATCAAAAGAAATTTCACGAATACTGAAACATTTAGTCGATTCATCCAACCACTCTATCAAATCTCCTACACAATTCCTGCGCCAAATTAAGGACATTCAAATCAACCACGACGAACTGATGATATCCTTTGATGTAACAACATTATTCACCTCAATTGAACCAAAGTTAGCGAAAGAAACTATTTCCCTTCTCCTCGCCAACGACACGAATCTCACAAAGTACACAAAGCTTCAAAGTAAAAGTCTACTAGAACTCATCGATTTATGCCTAACGACGTATTTTCAATTCAACAACAAAATCTACGAACAAACGAAAGGGACACCAATGGGGTCACCAATATCAGGAGTGATCGCAGAAGCAGTGATGCAAAGACTAGAAGCCGCAATACTACCTGTGATCAAACCAAAAATCTGGATTCGCTATGTAGACGACACATTCGTCATCGTCAAAAAGAATGAGCTAGAAAACACTTACAAACTGATCAACAACGTCTTCGATGACATCAAGTTCACAATGGAACAGGAGACAAACAACAAACTACCATTCTTGGATATATTAATCACTAGAACTAATACAGGAAAACTAGAAACTCAAGTATATAGGAAACCGACCCACACAGATCAAATTCTTAATTACAATAGCAACAACCCAAGAGCACATAAAATCAACTGCGTACAAACTTTGTTCAAGAGGGCGAGGACACACTGCAGCACACTGGCAGCACGAAGAAAGGAAGAGAAATACCTGAAGGACGTATTTCAAAAGAATGGCTACCCAATCAACTTCATCAAAAAATACCAACCACATGCAGCATCAGAACACAAATCAAGCACAGAAATTGACAAACGGATCACACTACCATACATAAATGGCATATCAGAGACCGCAACAAGACTGCTAAAAACCTTCGGAATAGGTGTGGCACACAAACCGACAAAATCACTACAGTCAATTCTATGCAAACCAAAGGATAAAATAACAAAAGAAGATAAATCAAACATCATCTACAAAATAAATTGTGTCAACTGCGACAAACACTACATCGGACAAAGCGGACGCCCCCTTCACCTGCGCCTACATGAACATCAATTAGCAGTCAAACGGCATGATATCTCCTCACTTATATCAATACACGTGGACAACTGTGGACACACATTCGATTGGAAAAATGTGGAAATCTTGGACAGAGGAAACTCTAAAAACACAAGAGAATTCTTAGAAGCTTGGCACTCAGGTCAATCAGCAATCAACAAACATATTGAAATTGATCCGATTTATCAACCAATCAGGAAACTTATGCACGAATATAGGAACAAGAATCAAACCAATAGGGGACAAAATAAAAACAAAAAAGTAAACAATGACAAATTTAAGGTCAATAAGAACCAATCAACATCGAGGTGCACAGAACAAGCTGTGAAATACATATGGAGAAATTCGAACACTTCACTTCTATCTGAAGTTTGTGCTGATGATGTCGTTCAGAAGAACGATGAAAGCTCCACGACCAAACCATCCAGCTCAGAGAACAACACTCCATCAAAAAGCTGGATAATCACTAACAGATTCACTTTCTGTTCTATTTCGGACTCGTCAGTTGGGTGTATCTGCGTCTCTACGTTGATGGTTGGATTGATAATCAAACTCAGTTCTTTTCATTTCGAAATTCAACACGTTATTCGCTGAACAACGGAGTCCATTTGGACACTAGCTTTTGCAATGGGTATCAGTTTCATTTGCAAGAGTTCATATTCTCCTGTTGTATAATTTAAGAACTAAAATTGATCGGTCTATAATGGAATATGTACATCCTGATTGGCTCGGCTTAATATTACCTTTTAGTCAGATACTTGTATTAAATTTGACTAGTAGCCAACAGTATAAAACAGGACGCTCCTTTTGTCTTATCTGGTAATAGTTACTCGAATGAATATTTTTACTGATTTAGAATTTATTTATTTATTTAAACATATCGACTGAGACGGTTGGGCCACGTGTTGCGTATGCCTGAACACCGATTACCACGACGCGCAATGCTAACCGGTGTTAGGAATAATTGGAAGAAAGTTAGGGGCAGCCAAACCAAAACGTGGCATCAGTGCTTGAAGTCACTAACTTCTGGTCTGAGCCATGTTGGTAGATGCAGACTCCCTGGTTGGGCTCCGCGTGACTATCGTAACCAATGGTTGGAGACTCTTGGTGACATGGCTCAGAATCGATCACAATGGTGTCGGTGTATACACACTCTGTCTTCCTATAAACTAAGAGATTAAAATCATTTCAAATCTTTCTTTCTAGGAACTAATTCTTTCTTCCTGTACTATCTCCTTATACACACTCTTTCTTCTATATATTACCACCACTGAATTAACTACTTCTATGAATCCTGTGTTCATCTTGTTGTGCTAATGCGGTATGGCAACTTGGACCGATGCATATATGTGCCTGGTCCTACATTGCAGCTGACTGACTATTTAAACACATAATCATTGGTACAAGGATTCAGCAAATATGTATACGCCACACAAATCATTTGATTTTTGTAAGGGGTGGGATACTGTTCGAGCGTCTAAACCGAAGCAGGTGCTTTTCTTAGGGGGCCACTCCCCGAGCCTTTGACCTAGAGGTTTAGTCCACAAGGCAGTGGAACAACGTTAGGAGATGCAGTCCCATGGTAGTCGGTGACAAACAATAGGTTCGTACTTTATGTGTTCCCTGAGGATCTTGGAGTCCATGTGCACCATTGGTTTGGAATCAGAGCTTTCCAACTCTTCTAGGTGGATACAGAGGATTAAAAAAAAGACGCAACCCATTTACCATATACAGTTCTACGTACTCACTTTTCAACTTCAATGTCTATATTGAAGCTCAGTGATACTATCTCATGAGCTTGCCTAAACCAAAGAAGGTTATATTCGGAGCTTTAACCTACGAACTAAAGATTGAAAATTTAGTACATTAGCTCTAAAATCAATGCTGATAATAGTAATTTTCTTTATTATAAAGATCGTACTTTTTTTCTTGAAAATATTTCAGAAATGGATGCCGACCGTATGTGGAAATATTTGAAGGGAAGACCAAAGTATACTCAACTTACGCAGAATACGACAATTTAAGGTAATTATTATTATTTTTACTATATAAGCAGAGATAGATGGTGACGCATGAATCCATATAGCTAGTAACTTGTGGAATCGATTGAAGTTTAATTCACTTGTATCGATTGTTTGAATCTTTCCTTTGGTGTTTAGGACTGCTATTCACAGAGGATGCTCATATGCCAAAAGTGACTGATCATTTATAGTCCCAAACATCACTGAGAAGATTCAAATGTATTTCAGTTGTTGTCTACTATTTTGCAGTAATTTTTTTGTTTTTGATTATTAGACCACTTTGTTGAAAACTTTAGTTTTCGTTTATTATTATTAACGTATTTATCAATATATTTTTTATATAAAATCCAAATTTTTTATTCGTACGATAACCGTGTTTAAAGTTAGAAAACTAAGAAGATCTCTGTGATTATTATAGTTCATCTAATGGGTAGCATCGATGTCTTTGTCAGCTAAGTCAAATGACGAATTTTCGAATTCAGGACAAAGCTTCAAACATTTAAAAAACAAAATTGGATATAATTGAAACACGTTATTTTTTTAAAAAAGACAGGGGAACAACAGAAATAAAATACGTAGAATGCATAGAGGCGATTAATGTCAGCAGGATTTTTTATATCTTAGTTATTAACAACAAAGTCATAATCGACAAGATTGTGCACCCTTTTAGGTTGTCGCATTTTCCATATGTTCAGCAAGAGGCAATAAATGAGATGAAGGATAATTAAAGTTCTCCACTATATTCGAACAATTTTCCTTAGATATTTGCTTTGTTGGGTACAAGCAGTCTACTGCTCTTACTACCATAGACCTCACTTTACAACCATAAAAAATACTACACCTTATACATTTCGTCTGATAGCCAGACGGACACATCTTGTTTGAAGTGCAGATTATACAAGCTTTGTAAAAGATGAAACCAAGTCAGCTATCAATCCATCGGGGCTGATGAAATCTAGGAGATCATGAAAATGGTCAATATGATCAATTGTTCCACAACCTATGATCAAACTAGGTAAAGACACAAACCCATTGCGAAGCAATATTGTACATTTAGAAAGAAAGGAAAACATTCTAAACATTTTCAAAGAACTGCTACATTTTGTCAGTATCTTTTCTAATTAGGACGGTGCCATCTGAATATACCAACTAGATACACCACAACAGTAGTTTATCGAGTAGTAAATTAATGTAGCCTTGATGAAGTAAATTTCTATGTATTTTACCTTGAATCACACTGTGTTTGATGGATAAGGATTCTACTTTTCCTCTCAGATTAAACTGTAATGTGGGATTTTAACACAGTAGTTGTTTTCTAACTACTATAGTAAATTAGATTATCTGGTCCAACAGATTCTGAGTATGTGTTTTGGATACATGCAAACATTTACACTAAGGAGTACAGTTTCATATCCAATTCACTGAGTACGTTGACGTTATTTATAAATGACTGTGCATCAGTTGATATCAATAAAAAAATAAGACAATAAATCTTGCCTTCTTTTCTTTTGTTGTGTCCTAAACAATAATTTGAAAACGATAACTTATTTCCTTCAAGAGGCTGATACGTCAACTACCGTGCAGAACAAAAACGTTAATATATTAGTGCACCTCAGTAGACAATAAATGTTTTGTGAAACCTAGTAATAATACCTAGTGTTTCAGACCGTTTTAGTCTGAATAAGCAAATTAGTGGTTGACAATCAAATGATCGAACGCCGTTGAGGCAACAGATAGACTGACGACATAAATTTTATTAGTTTCGGCTTTTACGTGTTTTTCGAATAATTATTTGTACTTTTTTTGTCTTTATTTTATGATAGATCCTATGTTCTTGAAGATGGAAAGATCCAAATACTTTTGAATGGATTAACTGTTTTAGGTGATCTTACAGTTATCATTTATCATTGTCGATCTTCATTTGCTGGACGTGGAAAGGTAATATCTACCATATTTACTTTCATACCCTTTTGTTTACAAATATTACTACTTATGTTTCATATTTTTTCTACTTAAAAAATTCACTTACTCCCAGCAGTAATTTTTCTTTTGAGGCAATTATTCATTTTACTCTAAAACTCACTGGAAATTTTGCTTTGAAATATAATCCATCCATCGTTTACAATATCATTTGAATATTCTATTTTATAGTTGTGTAAAGGTCAATTTTTAAATCATCTATTCTTTTGTGTAGATCAAATCGACTTTCTGAATATTTGGGTTAGGTTTGCATTGTATAACAACACACTTATTTCGTGTTCAAATTGTTTGCATACTGCTGAAATGTGAGATGATAATATTTTCTGAGTTTTTGTGTGTGGTAAATTTAGTAGTGAGTGATACCCTATTTAACTGCAGATGTTTTTATTGTTCTAAAAACGTAATTACAATTTGTCCTATCAAAAGTAATGCATTTTTAAATGCAAATTAGCTTAGTTTACAAATTTTATAGGAAATCTTATCAAGAATCTACTTGTATCGCACTATCCAGGGTGATATAATAAACATTATTACTTCATTAGGTCTGAAGAAATATGATTATTTTATAAGTTACCTATTGTTGCATCTTGCTATCGGAGTTCAGTACGGCCTACGATGTTACGGATTCTGGGACAAATACGAAAGTTTTTCTAATACGGTCGGTTCTCTTCGGAACTGACAACATTCAATCATACCTCGACGGATAAAACAGGAAATAGAGGGAATTACAGATAATTCGATATTTATGGTAGAACAAGCGACCCAAACGAAATCGGTACTAAAGTTGTTACTATATTAGCAGAATGTGACCTTCGAGCATGTAGCAATTTAGTGAACTAAAAGAATATGACAATCAATCAAAGGTCATGCGGAAAATCGAATTGGTAGAAAGTATGCAAGCGGATATCGTTCCAGAAGAGATCTTATCCGTTCTAATAAAATCTGACTATTCTTGTGACTGCCTTAGCACTTATTCAATATTAAGTACTCTTTTGTTATGATAAATTGTAGAATAGCTGTGACATATTAATTGCATTCACTGTTATACATTTTATTCTAACATTGTCTACATTGGTACTTACTGGCTCATTCCATTGTGAATGAATAAAATCGTTGTCAAACAAAAACTTGAAGAAGTCTTGATATTAGTATTGCTGAGCATGAAAAGTTAGAACTGCTGTAAACTGTAGATAGAATGTGTACGTACGTTCTGATTACTATTAGCCTTTGGCAACTGTACTACCTAAAGTACTTCCAGTTTTTGGGCACGGATTAGTTGTGTCGGCTTCAGTGAATTAACTGGTATCCTAATTCCTGATCAATTCATAATCTATCCTTTCATTCTTGTTCTGATCAGCACTATCCGTTATCAGACTGGTGTTAGTAACACTAGACTGATTGAACATGTAATTGAATATATTCAGTTCTGTAATAAAATCTTTCTTTTGTTTTAATCATTATTACATTTTGTTAGGTCACTTACTGTTAACTAACGATTGATTGGGCAAAGTGTACCGACTTGTTCTTTTCTGTACATCTATGCCAAATATGTTAATAAATTACAAATTCTGTAATTTTTTTTATATGTATAAGTTCGTACTTAAAATTCCAAATTATTCATGATATTTGTGTTCATGACATTTCATCATGGACAGATCAGACCAACTAGTGTGTGAATGAATTGAAACATTTAGTATTTATTATACACTCATCACTATTCAAAAGATAAGTTTTATTTTTTTTTGAAATTTTTACAATTGAATGATAACCCAATAGCAAATTGTCTAACTAAAAGACCGTCACAACTACCCACTATTAGGTTATCATATAAACCTGTTTTATTTTTATTATATCTCGATTTCATAGTTATATAAGGTAATTTTGTTTAACTGACTGGAATTTTTAATCTTGTAAACTAATCAGCTTCATATAATGAAAAGCTAGATCAGAATATATGGTTAAATTGTTACACAAGATTAATTACTTTAATATGTTTCACATATTTGTATGTACTCGTTCATCTCTTTAACTCGAACAAATTGATCAATAAGGATTTTGTAGGCAAACATAAACTTATATTCTGAAACTTTTTGAGGTTATGAGAAAAATTCAAGAATTAACCGTTAGCGTGAATAATTTCCCTTTCAGATTTATGCTGCTTTATGTAGTGGTACTTCTACAAAAAAATTGATAACAAACCATAGAAAATTACTGAACTTTATAAAATCACTAACAGGTTTCACAAGTTCTTTTGTAAAATACCTACACATAATCTCCGCTGATTGACTGACTAATGACTGTAATTTACACGGCCATTTTAAGAGTCATTCAGGTTTGTCTCTATGCTGAACTTTGACTCTTAATTCCGACTTATTATTGTTGTATTATAAACTTGCATCTTTTTTTTCTCTGAGAAAAGTGTGTGTTGTCAATGACATACGTGGATATGTGTTGTTCCTCTCACAATTTTCTTTTGTTATAGATCAGTTCAGTGAAGATTGCTCAGTTTCAATTACACACTGGATTTGTAGAACATAATTTAACTGAACTAATTTATTTTAAGTAAGTCATATATATATATATATATATATATATATATATATATATATATATATATATATATATATATATATCGGTAATCAATGGATTTTAGGGAGTGATTTTTGTTTTTAATTTTTAAGAAATTGACTTTTTTCAATCTTCTCTTTACTTGCATAATATCGAACGTGTAAATGTGGGTTTTTCTACGTAATAATATTAAGTTGTTAAGATGGTAATCTTTATGTGAAACAATGTATATCTGCTAAATTTCTTGTACAAACTTTATATTTATTGGCAATATAATGTCAATTGTGTTCAAGTCTAATAGCATGTACCTTAGATTATTGACTCATGCTTCATTGTGTCTCAGGCATAATATGAATTGTCTGTACAATATGAACTGACCTCGTGACTGATAACATAACCTCTTTAATCGCTGTTGAAACTAATCAATGTCATTTATGTGTCAATGATTGCAATGAAGTACATTGCATAACTACACATAATTGGTAAAAAGTAATCATTCATACTAAGAAAACATTTGTACTAGTTGTAATAATACGAATAACAAGAGTTCTTGTCAGTAGTTCAACATACGAACTAGGTTGAACTCGGATAGGTAGACGTTAAAATAATAACCATATATTATTATTACCATCTGTAGTTTGTCGTACAATTAATGTGATTTGAAACTAACATGTCTAACGTTTTGTGTTTAAATGTAGAAATGTGGGTTCGAGGAGCAGAATGCTAAAATTTTTCATTGACAACAATGGTTATAGCGCACAGTGTAGACACCAACCTGATTATAAAGAAAATCTCAAGTTTTCGTCTAATAATGGGAAACATGTGTCAGTCAGTATATTGATGTTGTTCTAATTAGGATTCTCCTGTCTATTTTTTTTCACTTAGCAAATATGTACTATATAAACCGATTGTATCTAATCGTTTGCTTATGAGAAAGTAAATATATGTGCACTTGGTTACCGAATTGTTACATTACCTCTTGTAAACTCAAGTTAGCTAATTGAAGACTCCAAGAATGGAAATGGCCTATAATAATTTTAAATTAAACCATTAAATGTCAACTTTTGTTCCAATTTTAGCTTCATTTCACTGTCTAACGTTTAATAGAAACAAAATTTTCATGCAGAAAAACAAATATTATACATTTACTTGATGGACAGATAATTTATTTACTGTTGAGATAAAAAGTAGCCAGTTTTCAAATATACACTACCTGACATATATCTCGATATCCATTTGTTTTTTACTGTCATTAAATTCATTATGCCTTTTATATGTAGCGAAATCACAAATGAAAATTCCTGTTTTTTTGTATTTCTAATCTTCTATTGCATAAGGATATAATTTGAACAGTGAGAAATACTACATAAATATTCATCCGTAATCATTCTTAACCCACTTCCCATTAGGTTTTCTTCATAACACATCGGTCTAATTGAATTAAAAATGTTTCGGTAGCACTTTTGTTGACTTTAATTATGTACATTAAGTTTAATAAAATGGAAAGGAACGATCCAATGTAAGCTGTTATTATAGCTGTTTGTAAACAAAAATGTAATATCATTTAAAAATTCCACGTAGATAATGCTAATCATATTTGACATGTCTTCCACAAAATGAAGCGCTATGTGCTTTTTGCACTAAATTCTTGAACAGATGAATTTCTGTAGTTAGCAAATATCTGCCCTTTTATCTTTAAGCAATTGTTACTGATTGATTTCCGGTTTTCATTGATTTCTTACAACAAGTACTTCATTATCGCTTTCATAATGTCCACTTTATCTTTGATCTCATTGATGGCCTATTGAAAACTGCTGGCGACAGGTATACTACCCTTGATTTTCACTGATTTCTCATCTTCAGATCGTTTTGTGACAGAAAGTAATATTTACACTTTTCAACTTCCCTTAAAAACACTATTTAAATAAATTCTTTTCTTCAAGACTTGGATTAATACTACTACGTATTGATTTTTCATTCACAAAAGCATTTTCCCCTATGCATCGTTGCATATTACTTTTTGTTTTTTCTCAATTTCCCTTCAACAGATCCGATTTAGATCATCTAGATAATAGTAGCAGCTTTGCCGGTTTCACTAGTCGTTATGCTGAAAGTTTTCATGTTACATTGGAATTTATGGTTTCACCAACTGAAAGACCAAGACAAAGTGACAACCTTGTTTATCCATGGGAAACTCTGCCATCAAATGATTTACTTAGTCCTAAACTTTGTGTATCAAATCATGATGAACTGAAAAATATTTTATCTGATTACGGTAAATAAGAATACATAGAATCGTTTTATGCATAAACATATGAAGAATTTTCACTGTTTTTGTATTGCATTATTTATAAAATGATGATCATTGATACTGTCCTTGAGCATCAGCTGTATGAATAATTTCCTGTTAAAATTAGCTCTCCTTGTTAAATAACCATGACAGGTATAATAATAATTGTAATAATTCAAGCGTAAATGTACTGCTTATATCCAATATGTACCAAATTTTGATTTGGTTAACTAAGCAGTATAAATCAATTCATAATTATCAAAATATACTTGTGACTATCCAACTTATCTTCAACATGTAACTTTTCTCGATGATTATTCCTGTTAATAATTTCATTTACCTTGAAAATTAGAAACCACAAATGAGTTCGTTTATTCAGTTACCGAGATTATTTATTCAGTGTTAAAAAAATGCACTTGTTAATTTGGTTACTTTTTAGAAAGTGAAACTATGTCCTAATTCAGTAATATGTCAAGTATTTTTAATGTGTTTTCTTCTATAAGTTCTTTTTATTTCAGAGATATCTCCCGTTTCATGATTGAGGTTATCCACAATGCTTTCGACATTCACTAATTCTGTCATGCCTAGCACTTTCAGTTATGATTTTCGCATTCATTTAGTAACCGGGTTCTGTGTACTTTTCATCAAAGATGTTGCTTCACGTCTTGATCTTAATCCTATCTGTTTTACCTTCTCCAACGTATGGAATGACACTTCATCCGATATTTTGATAACAGACGGACGAGAATAACGCGAGACTCTTAAAATGAAATCTTAACTGAGGATTGTACTGTAATCTGCTAAATTTATTTACTAAATGAATAAGAATATTGCCGTAATTTCTGATGAAATAACTTAGTGTACATTGAAACCGTTGCGATAAAATTCAGCCATTTAGTATTGTTTTAATCATAAAAGATGATGATGGTTTCTCTTTTTGTTTATAGCCTGTTTATATTTTGACATTTTTCTTATTTCCCCTTCCGAAAACTACTGATGGATCTAGGACGTTTTAATCATAAACCATCAACTCGAATGTATGAAAAAAATAGTTCAGAACCTAATCAATCAAATAATCCATCAGAAAAAGATTTTATAACCACTAATATTAATAGCGATGAATCATGTAATTCAACAGATCAATTCACTACAAATTTGTTTACTACTACTCATACCATCGGTGGTAGTACGGTTAATTTAAAACAAAATACAGAAATTAATGATATTTTAGTCTCAGATTTAATCAATGATAATGATATGCCAACGAATCATAATTATACTTATTCATCAACTTCTTCTGATCATTCAAAACAACTTAACTACAATTTATTAAGTGATAAATTCGGTGGGGATTTTTTTTCATCATCCAAGAATCAAGATAATAATAATATGGTGAGTAATCTAGTTTATTTTTTTAAATTAATTTATTTTCACATTTTTGTCCTTCCTACTTTGACTGTAGTTTTGGTCAAAAATTGAAATCGATTGAATGGCTGAGGAGGAAACTAAATTATTCTAATTGAGGTATTCATCAACATACTCGTTTGGTATAGTGAATAACTTCATTATGGAATTTTCCGACGTTCTGGTGGAGACCTGGGGTCTGTGAAGTCAGAAATTTTTTATTTTTTATTTGGACACATAATTATTGGTACAAGAGGGCACCAAATATATATGCACCACACAGAATTTTGTGTGTGGGCTGGGATACTGTCCGGGTGCCCAAACCGAAGCAGGTGGTATTCTTAGGCTACACCCCGAGCCTTTGACCTGAAGGTCTAACCCACAAGGTAGTGGAGCATCGTGAGGAGATGCAGTCCCATGGTAGCCGGTGACCAACGATTGGTTCATACGCCATTTGTTCCTTTAGGATACTGGAGCCTATGTGCACCATTGGTTTGGGATCCGGTTAAAGCGCCGGATATTCGCTTTTCGTCCTCTCATTTTCTTAAACAACAGTAATGGCACGAGAAGGCAGTGAGTAGGACTTCCCTGGCAGAGGCTATATATGTGTGGCCATGTGAGAGTATTTCGAGAGGGAGAGCGGACTCTCCCCACTGTCGGCCATACCAGGGCATTTGGAGGCAGATATGTTTGAGGCGAGACCGTAACCCGCCGATGTTGTTGAATGAGAATCGCGCCGTCTTGTGAATTGATTAAAGTTTAAAAAATTGAACTGTTGGATTATGATTTATTGATCAGTTTGCATCATCACCTCAAGATCTAAGGCTTTTGTCCTATCTCTTGTAACATCATGGAAACTTATACCTAGCAACAAGGTAGTTATTTCAAAATCCAAATTGAAATTTATCAAATCTTTTTTGTATAGATCTTATTAGGATAAATATTAATAATGTTAATAATAATAGTAATAACTTATTTAAACCTTTAAAAGTAAACAACTGTTTCCTCTATATTGTTTTGCGTCATTTGTCTGATATTATTGATTTTCTGTGTTGAATACAATCAATTTTTCGTTAGGTGATTTCATATGTTGATGAATGAGCTTAGAGTCTGACGAATAATTTATTACAATACTTTGGTTCATCCTCGAAAAACAACAATATGAGTAGTACTGTTTCCTTCGATATTCTCTTCGTGTAAATTGCTACTACTTTGTTGAAACATCCTTTTGTTTACCAAGTAAAAAGTTCCCATATTCCCTATAGATTACTGAGTTTAACGGTTAATAGCAACGTGAAATTTCATTGGATATTTTATGTGTTTTTCACATTCGAGTCTCATTAACGTATTGTATTAGCTAGCCTAATATAAATGTGGCTACAAATCTGTATGTTTATTTTCCTGTTTATTCTTTTACAGGAGGCATGTTCTGATGATCTGCTTGGATTCCATGTTGAATCTTCATTTCCAAACACTGACACTGCTGCTACTTCTCCCACTACTACTTCTAATACTGATGATCCTATTTTAATTGATGTAGCACAGAATCCTTTTGTAATTTTTAATAAAAATTCACTAGATGAAATTATTACTACATCAACAACTAGTCAGCATTATATTTCCGATGATTTAAAACAAACTGATCAAAAATCATTTGTTGATGATTTATTTAATTTCAACTCATCAGTTGAAGTCAATTCAGAAACTGGTCTTGGTTGGGAGAATGTATTTAGTATCACGTCATCAGAAAGCACAAAGACCACTACTATCATCACCACAAGCCATAGTACTACTACAAACAACATTGGCTTATCCAATAATCCTTTTGATCCATTTGGTTTAGCCACATCAGAATTATCTGATTTCTTTTCAGTACCAAATTCTTATATATCAAGTGAAAACAACTCGACTACTGTCACTACTACCATCCTTACTAATCAAACTGCCGCTACTGCCTATTCTTCTCCTCCTCCAACTACTAATACTAATACTACTACTAGCAAAGATTACTTTGGACAACAAGGTGGTCATCTAAGTGCCAGCGCCAGTGCTAATAATTTCAATCCGCTCTTTACATCAGCTTCTTTTACAAATTTGTCTCCTAACGTTGAAACTATTCCAGACAAGACTACTACCACAGCAACTACTACTACTACTAACGGCATCAAGAATCATGATCGCCTAGATCCATTTGCAGATTTTGCTGATGTACTTCGAGATCGATTAAATAATCAAAATTTTTCCAGTACTAATGCTACAAATAATGATAATACATATACCCCACTATCATCAAATAGATCATCCACAAACTTGGGTGGTTTTTCTGCTGGTCCCAGTCCAGCACATCATTTTAAATGTGAGCTTTTTCAAATGTGATAAGATATTTCATCTTGCGTTTCATTACTACGCGTAAAGAGCAGTAAATTTGATTTATTTTATGACGTTAAGTAAAAACACCAGATGAATGAAGTATATCGAAATCATGAACTGATTTCAGTTAGACCACCATTGAAAACCTGGAAGCACTAGATGGCCGTTTCATCTTATTATATGGCTCCTTAATAGTGCGCATCAACGACCCTGTATGTGTGAATCAATCCCAGGTCCTTGGGTCTAGCACGCAAACGTTTAATCTCTAGACCATTGAGCCGGCACCCGATGGTCTCAATGTCTGGTTTTAATCAATCCACGACATTGTGCGACCATTTTTATTGTATTCGTGGATGGGTGCTCACTACTGAGAATTTTCCTACTGGGACAAGACGACCGTCCAATGCTCCCATATTTCCAATGGTCGTCTAACTTATATCGGTTCATGATTTCAATGAAATTCAACAATCTCCACAACCTCTTTTTATGAATAAAATTAAATCTAAAACATTAATTGAATGAACGTGATTCATGTTGAGTGATATCTTTAATTCATGGATTCAATAATTTGTCATGTTCGCATGTCTATTCCTTTTAATGTTGAGGTAAGTGGCAAAATAGTATAAGATCATTATCATTGTCGTGCTTAATTCGATAAAAATTTACGAAACATAGAGGACTCAATTTTCACTTGATCTTCCGTTGTTTATGTATACAGTCTTAAATGAATTGATTAAAATACAACTGTATAGTAAAGTGTCGGTCTAAGTTCTCGCTCTTGTAAAGATTACGAATAGAAAATTAGTGTAACTGTATTGTAAATAACATTCGTTTGAGCAAATTATAGTGTAAATTTTTTTCTATGCGATGTCAATTATATCAATACAAAACAATTATAGATTTTGATTGTACTATGAATTTGGACTGTATAACTCTACGATTTGTTTCTAAACGATTCTTCTAATAATTTAACATTAGTTCATTTTGAAAATGCATTGGATTCATGTGGCTGGAGATAGTCAGCTGGAAACTTTGGACCCAGGTCCCATGTTATTTAACATTCGTCAACATGGCGTATTTGTATTCTTCAAAGAATTGGTTTCCTCTGGTGAACTTAAATTTGAGCAGCCGAATCTCACTGTTTGCGATATTATTATGGAGGTATATAGGCTGAGACTGACTTCCTGTAGGACCAATATATTTATACTGAATAATCACTAAGTATTGGCCAACTGGGTGCTTGTCTAGTCCTTTATGTTGATTAAATTCCGTCGATCAAGTTCATTCATACTTTTTGAAAAAATGGTTTTCATATTTTTAGCTAGTATCGACTCAAATTTTATGAACAACTCTTCAAATCATAAGGAAAGTCCTGATAATTTTTTCCATGGTTATGAGAAATCTGGTCAATCGTATTCTTCCTGCTCCAATTTTCCTAATACTACCACTTCTACTACTACTACTTCTGGATCTACATCAATACCAACTAGTGGAGGAACTGGTGCTAGACCTCATGTCAATAAAGATGCATTTTCTGATTTACTTGGTGGATTTGGTTCTTCTCGAACAAACAACACAGATGATAATAAACAACCAAAAACAGTAAATCAGATTCGTCGTGAAAAAATGGCTAAAACTGTCGATCCTGAACAACTGAAAGTAACTCTTTTTTTAATTAGACTTTGTCAGTATTGTTTAAAGTTGACAATTTTTTTAAGACTGAAAACTATCGCTACAGTAACTGTTAATTTCCCCCGTCAAATGTTCAAACACAATCTCTTCTCATTATAAAGCTAGTAAATAATAATAATTGAAGACTGATCGTGGTAGCTTGATAGTTAATACACTAAAATTTCAGTTGTATGGGTTGTAGATTTAAGATCCATTACACTAATTTTGATGGTTCATCCCATCAGATCTCACACAAAAGTATGAATCATCGTTGAATACTAATTTACACCTTGAAAAATTTTGAATATTATATATTAGTAATTGTTATTGTAGCTTGGCGTTTTCTAACAGCGCTGTTTATTTATTGCATTATACTGACTCTTAATATTACACTGTTAATTACGTAATATACCTAAATCACATATTTCCTCTGTTTTTACTGGCTATATCAGTGCGACTAACAAACTCATCTGTTCACGTGTATGCAGTGGATTTTTTGATACATAATGTCTTAATAAAAATGCGGTTAGAAGTTTAATCCAAAATATGTGTAGCCATCAAGTGTAGGAGATCAAAGTACTATCATCGTAATTCAAAGTCATTTTTAAAAAATTGAATACTTAGTGGATCAAATAATTGACTCATGATTTATGACCCATAGACACCAACTGATAGGTGATCGAATAGCTAACATTAATAAATTAATCCTAACTTTTGTGTTTTCTCCTATTTCACTAACAATAAGTCTCTTAACTTAGTGACTATTCTTTGTACTACGACTGGTAGTTCACGTAATTCTCTAACTAAAACACTAAAGATTCAATGAATGCCTTCTATAAATTTGTTATTCAGATTCATTGCACACGAAGTTATATATGTTGCGCTAGGATTTACAATTCTCAGAGTGCATAACTAGGCCATTTCTTGATACAAAGATAAAGTTAACAGTTAATTGACCTGTAATTTATGAACGGTAAACAAATTATAACATCATTTGATGACATTAAAGACTGAATGTAACTGAGTATTTGTTGGTAAATGCAAATGCTGATTAGATGCTTCAATATAAAACATCATTCATATTAAACAAGCTAATAACTCTCCGGAATCAGTGTCTCAGTAGGATGACAGATTGCCGTTTGAAGTAATAGTTAGATGGGCTGGAGCCTCGTTATAAACATCAAAACTGCGATCCAGAAATAAGAAAAAACTTATATGCTGAATTCCGGTGCCAACTACATTCCATATATATTCTGCAACAATTAATGAATCAAAAAATAACTTACAGTTAGGTCTGTAAAAGTATCATTGGAACAACTGTTGCAGCAAATGCTCCATGAAAATATGCTAGCTAATTCATTGGAAAATAACTATCCAAGTTATTTTTTCTCTTACAGCCTCTTTGTAAGGAAGTTTAACTAGTTTTTTTATAGAATTTTTTCTTAATTAATTGGTTATTGCAGCTCAGTACCATCGGTTTACGTAACGTATAACAGTGGGACTTATTAATTAATTAATTAATTTTCCGTATCTTCAATACTTAATCAAACGATTTTTACTTAAAGGCTAGTGATACTCTCTAACTCCTTAAATTGATATAGAGCAGGGTTCAAATATATAGTCCAATGGTTGAGTCGAGTGTTTTAACTATAAAATCACCTCTTCAACATACGGTTTTGTTGTTCATATTTGTGTTTTAAATTTATTAGACATTAGATATATACGATTGATAACTATCAGAATGAAAGGGATTCCTAAAATTCTCACATATACGTGTAACACTAATGTTTAGATGCTTGAAACTTACTCATACCCTGTATTTTTAAAAGTGTGTTAAATATTCTGAAATTAATAAAGAGTTAGCTATTGCTCAGTGTACTCGTCTTTTGATAGTCAGATGAATATCTTTCCAGCTCTATAATTAGCTAATTACATAGAATTCTGAATAATCATGTTATACTTGTTTTTAACAGTATAATTTTTTCGTAATATAATTCTGTTTTTTATTAGGTCTGTGATTGGGCTGAGGGTAAAGATCGAAATCTTCGAGCATTATTATGTTCACTACCGGCCATATTATGGGATGGAGTACAATGGAATCATGTTGGTATGGCTGATCTAATAACGCGGGAACAAGTAAAACGTCAGTACCGGAAAGCTGCTCGTGTAGTTCATCCTGATAAGGTAAATCTAAATAACTTTTTAGTTGAATAGTTTTTATTTCTACATGACAAACAAGATTATTATTGTTAGATAACATCAAATTCTGTACGTTTTGAAAAAAGTTATCCTTAAGTTAGTTGAAGTATAAAATCTAAGTCATACTCTTATTTTATGTATTTATTATTCTTAATATAGTGGATGAGTACATCACACGAGAATATCGCACGTCTAGTATTCGTTGAATTAAATGACGCTATGGCTGAATTTGACAAAAATTTTAACAACTCATCGGTCAATATGAATTTTTAACATTTTTTGTTTTACCTCATTTCAATTAACATTATCTATACGTTCTTGTATTTCTTCTTTGTCCAACTGTGAATTTCTCTATTTATCATACAATTAACTAATTGTATCACTCTCTAAAGTCATTCCATCCTGAAAGCAAATACTTTTTTTTGATGAGTTATCATAATACGTCTTTTTATTCATCTATACACTGCCAGGTACCTCATCTTCTGACTGACAATCTATGTAAATCTGTGATGTAGATGATTTTGTTTCATAGATAGGAGATCAAGCATTATTTATACATTACTATCCTTGTTTTCATTTATTATTGTTCATCGATGACGGTAATACTGGTTGTGGGTATTGGTGATGTTGTTACCCTCTCTCTTTTCTTGAACCAAGTCCTTCTTATCCAATTGTCTCCCCATTTTTATTTATTTCTCTCATGTTGTCACAAAATACTACCATTATCATCAGATTTTGTCCAGTTTTTTCTCATGATTTTTGTCACAATGATGTCATACATCATCATTTGTAATACAAAGAACAAAGAGAAGAGAGAATTTTCCTGTTTGTTTATTTAAATAGTTCAATACAAGCGCCTGTTATAAAAAACATTCTTTCGTGCTTACATTCACATGGGATTTGTATATAGTTTAGTTTCGACGATGTACTTGTTGTTGTTATTTAGTGGTGATATTATTTCTATCGCTGGTTTACAGAAAAACCAAAGCTGAGAAACACAAACAAATTAGTTTTCCAGTTTAGTAAAATAACAGTTTTATATTTTAAAAATTGTTATTTTTCCTACTTATCAGTAAAATGTCTTTTGTTTTCTTGGATTTTCTTCTTCCACCTCTCATCGTTAGTTTATTATTCATCTGAATATCAATATACTTTCAATCAATTATTCGACTGCTTCATCTAACATTGTCGCTATCAATATCTTTATCGTTATTTTAATAAAGAAAATGATAATATTCCTCCAGAAATGTTTTCTCTATCTCATCATATGCTATAGCATTATAGTGGATCAGATCATAGTATCTCTGTGTGTGTGTTTGTATATACAGTTCAGTTTCATTGATTGATTAGATAGCTTTAATTGTAATTTCGCTCTTTTATGAATTGATAAATTCGATAGGACTACTCAGACATATGTGAGACAATATATAAATAATGAGTGCAAAACATGTTTGTTTATTTTTTTCAACAAACTGAGTAGTGAGTATTTGTGGATAACTTTCCAAAGTTAATATTCTTTATGCGAATGTCTCAGTATCATTCTTGAGAAGTAATTTTAGTCTAGAGCATATTGAAATTAGTTTGTTTATTTACGAGAATAAGTAACAATAATGCATGTATTAAATTTTAAAGTTAAATTTAGTCATTTGACAACTAAAGACACATCATGTCGGCTTAGATTAAAGTACATGAAGAATATTATTACTATAAAGAAATTTATAAATGTGTTGTGAACGAAAACAGGTAGGGACAACCAATGCATTTCAATACGAAATTACAAAAATCTCTCATCAAATGTGAAAACCATACGTTCGATACTTCGTTTGCAAATCTTCCATCGATTATCTTAAACTTCATCGTTCCTCCACTGGTATAACAATTACTGCCTATATCCGTTCTCTTTGATTCGATCTTCCCAACATTCTGCTGCCAGGCATTCCACTTCTGATTGGTGTTATGCACTACTTTATTTATTTTTATTTATTTATTTTAACACATAGGTATAGGTACAAGGAGGCACCAAGTACATATGCGCCACACGAATCTCAAATGATTTGTGTGAGGGCTGTCATACTGCCCGGGTGCCCAAACCGAAGCAGGTGGTTTTCTTAGGGGGCCACACCTCGAGCCTTTGACCTGAAGATCTGATCCACAAGGCAGAGGAGCATCGTGAGGAGATGCAGTCCCATGGTAGCCGGTGACCAACGATTGGTTCATACGCCATTTGTTCCTTCAGGATACTGGAGCCCATGTGCACCATTGATTTGGGATCCGGTTATAGCGCCGGACATTCGCTTTTCGTCCTCTCATTTTCGTAAACAACAGTAATGCCACGAGAAGGCAGTGAGTAGGACTTCCCTGGCGGAGGCTATATACGCATGGCCATGTGAGAGTATTTCGAGAGGGAGAGCGGACTCTCCCCACTCTCAGCCGTACCAGGGCATACACCACAAATATTTTATTAATATTCAACTAATAAGTTTTAAATGATTTAAAATGTTGAATATTTTCTAGACATCTACAGAGCTTACCATCAGCTTGCAGTTTTTCTACTATTTTTGATGAATATAAAATTATGATTTGAATTTTTAAGTATTTATGGAGATTATTGAATAGTTTATGAAGTGTATTATAGGTTAGTGAATATACCTAGATATTCCTGTTCGCAATTATAAAACATTTGAAACGATTACAAATTTCTCTCAGAAATGTAGGCAGGAATAATAATCTCTGAAAAAATGCTAGTTCTTGTTGGCATTGACAAATGGCAAATGTAAAATGTTATTACGGACGAATTAATCTATGAATTGTCACGAATTAAATTCATATTTATGTAACCGAGTGGTGAGTGCTCTTAAAGGGGAAATTATTCATAAAATCTCCTCGTCCTCAATGGACGAATATCAGTAGACAGAATAAAATAAAAACGAGTTATTTCATGTCAGTACTAAAATCACATTTATTTACCAAATATTTAATACAAAATAAACATGAATACAATTCATTCAAAATGTAAATGATTTTAAGATTCCTACTTCGTATGTCATTCATTGACCTTACATATTAATACCTGAAGATCATATCACAAAAAGAAATGTAGTTTCCAGATACCTTGACTGGACCGAAAGAACGTAAACATCAAGCGATTGGGTTATGTATGATATTATGGCCCACTTGCGAAACGATAGTGGATGCTGTATAATCAAGCCGTTCGAAACGAAAAGTTAACCAGGAAGCAACAATGAATTAGCTGGTATATTAGTTGACTGTTGGTATTGATTGTTGTATTTAGCGGTTGTCCGATCTTAATTTACATGCTTCATGCATACAACCACAACCAACTACTTGAGAATATCAAGGACAACTGAGAAACCTTATTGAAAAACCTTAGTCAGGATTTCTAAACAGGCTTGTTCATGTCTCGGATAATAAATCCAAAACTGAACTTCTCTTATCCAAATTCCATCTTCTTAAGAACATTTTTATTTATTTCAAATCTATTCTGTTGCAAAATATGTCAACTTCGGGCATAGAGCGGTGAACTCGTCGGAGTGGTCGAGCTTTCCTATCATGATGAACCAATTGGGCTATACTGGTTGTAACAATCATCCATCAAGGTTTTATCATGTCATGCAGATCCGTCGAAGAACGTTAAGACTGAAGGCAGAAAACCCAAGATCCGCAGGTGAAGTCGTACTAATGACTCTATTGAGGTGTGACGGCAGTAAGGTTTTTCCCTTAGATAACCAGCATAACAGCGATGCTGCCTTCCCACCAAGGAAGGGTTAGTTTAGAAAAGATCAACCCTAAAAATGCACTTTTCACCTTATCCCATGGATATCTGTTTCCAGCGGTAAGGTCTCAACAAGTACTGAGCTAACACAAAATCTACCCACAAAAAGGTTGTATGTGACCACCTTCAAGCAGTTGCCCCTTGTGCATTGGGGTCACGTTTTCAGGTCATTAAAACCAACTCTAACTTAATTTTCTTTTCAGGTACTTTTCTCTTTAAAGTGGTGAATAGTCATTTCTCCATCGTTTTATGTTCCACACCTACTAAGTTTATTGTAATTAGGCCGATCAAATCATTGTTTAATCTAACGTGACATGTGTTTAATATTTACTTTCGTTGGTTGTTCTAACATTTATTTGTAATATTTTCATAATTATTATGATGATTGGAAATTGATGTTCTTCCTAAGTGTTAAATATCAAAGTATGTAAAATGTCAATAATTAATTTTTTATTTATCTTATAAACAGACATTATAGTCTTTTCTTTTAAATCTACTTTATCAGTCGGTATCCCATCTTGTTCATTATTCAAGTTTTTTTTAAATTTTACTCTTCTTTTATATATAATTGAGGACTATTCTGGTTTATTCTACTATAATATACAAGCTTAATTGATTTATTTCTTCATACCCTATTCCTCAAATAACCTTGTCGTTATTTCGCCCTTAAAAATGTTTTTCTTTATATTTGACCCATATATTTATTTAAACTTGAGGAAAATGTTTCTTTTCTTTATATGATTGAAATCAATTAGTTCATTGAATGAATTCGATAAGCAAATAATTAATTTACTTTAATTGTAATAGAATAACTAGTGGTTTACACTAATAAGTAAGTCATTCAATTAATATTGTGAGAAAAAAATCAATAAATAGTCAAAACTATTCTTCTGTTTACAGATCAATATTATGATAATATTAGCATAACCAATCTAATCATATATAAGTTATAACTACATTTAGTTCTTTATACAACTGTTTAAATTAGACAAAGTTATTTTGTATATATTTACATACAAATCAATTTGGTTTTCTTTATTGCTCAGTCAAAATATAGTTGCATAAATATGAATTAATGGGTTGTTGTTGTTGCTTTTTTTTGAATATCATTAGTTTCATCGCAAGTTAATTATAACTGATGAAACATAGAGATCATTGGATTAGTAATCATATTGCAACATTATCAGTAGAATATGATCAATAATAGGATCTAAAATATATGATATGAATTATTTAATATTTGGTAGGCAGATATAAGAATTTATATATCATGTGTTGATTTCTATATCAGTTCGCTACTGATAAATTTGACTGTGATATTTAGCGATATACGTTCGAGTACCATGAGGGATATCAGTTTCTATAAGATTACAAATTTGGTTTTTTTGAATAATCTCATTCACCACAATGTTTGGATCTACGGTTCTTCTAGTAATTGCCTCCGATCACCTGAAAAATAAGTCATCATTATTATTATATT